GTCAGGGTTGTGACCAGGCGCGGGTGCCTTTGGCGCTTTGCATTTTAACTACAAATTAGTCTCACAGCAACCGCCAGATCCATTATATTAAGCACACGGTGCAACAAATAAAGCACACACAGGAACGATGGAAAAGTACAAATGTCTAGGCACAGAAGAGGACAAGAGAGAACACGCGAGATGGGATAGCACACTAGGATTATATTATTTCCACACAGCATTACAACGAACATTAGCTGGGATCACCGGAGGAAAATTATAAGTTTCCATAATACACAGGTTTATGTCCATGAGTGCGGTGGTCAGCAATGCAGTCGAAGAGAACTTTCACCATGCAGTCTGAATACGCTAAAGTACAGTGCAAGGTTGATTACTCTGCGGGATCGAGAGCTTCAAGTCACCAACCAACACAAGGAAGGGGGAGGGGGGAGAGGAGGAAGAACGGTCAGGCGGGGGCGAGAGTTCGAGGCGCGCAGGCTGGGAGCAGTTGTTCTCCCTTCGAACCTCCGCGTCCAGCCTCGCGCCTCGCGGGGGCACACACGCCACATTTCGTTCCACAAAAAACGTCCGACAGCACAGGGGCAGCGGGCAGGCCAGCGGTCGCGACCCCGCGCCAACGAAAAACAAGGCCCGGAGACGCGACAGCCACGCGGTTAAAACACGGGCTCGACGCTATCAGCGCTCCCGAACCCAACTCCAATAATACGTTAGGAAATCGAAAACATGATATCTCGCGCCAGGCGCACCGCACGCGAAACATTTCAGGTATGACCCACCACACGAACTGTGAATTCCGGGATTTGCGTGACGCGGCTCCGTTGCCCAAACCGCTGCCGCCGCTGTCGGACATTACACTGGGCCCGCTATCAAAGATCTTCACATTTATGAAAGGCACAACACGTTTCATGTCATGTGGAACAATTTCATTGCGGGAGACAAATGCAACATCAAGAACGGGAAAGGATAGAGCGGAAGGACGACAGAATCACAATGAATCACAGCAACACATTGTCAGACTAGAGAGGATATTACGGGTTAGTCACAGACCAAATGCACGGAATGTAATGTACAGTCGTACACAGAAGCTTGAAACCACTAACTAGTTTGCACAGAATGCGGGCTGAATGCACCCGAATTGCCGCTCGCTGGAGGTTGCGGGGCATCCAACCCTCCCCGCCACAGCTGCTCCTCAGCCAACTCGCAGCGCGCACAAATTCCTACGTTTGTCATAGTTTCATACGTAGATCGAAACGTCAGGGAAATCGTCGAAGTCGCCCCCGTTCCTTGAAGATAACACGATTTTCTTTGGTTTCCGGCACACCTCACAATTTATACCGAATAAATTAAGCAAATTGTTTTTAAAATATTTCGCTAAATAAATATTCAGCTTCACTCACTTTTACGTAACGATGACATTGACGATGCAGAAAGGAATAAAATTCATAAAATAAAATAATCAGTCAATACTTTATAACTACATTTCAGAATTGTTTTTATATCTCAAACAATTATCACAAAACAATTCAGGCGCCAACGGTAACCGGAAACCTGGTAATTCTGAATGCAAACCGAAGTACCGTTGGGTCGTTTTGAAATAGTACATGTAATAATCTTAAAACATTCAAGTCCCCTTGGCTGCGAGCTGGCGTTGAACGTAGCTGTGACACGGGATCTTCCAAACAGTCCACCTCGCCCCACGGCGCTAGACCCCGGCCGGTTCGACACACCGCCAATGACAGCAATTCCATTCAAAAATTGTATTTGTGTTCGGTTTACGGTCCACGAGTTTTCGTTTATAAGCTGACTATCATAACTGCCGGTCAGAACGTAATAATAAACGCTTACTTTATTTCGGCAAAGACTCAATTTCTCAGAAAAAAAAACAACTCTGAATTATTACGGAAATATAAATTTCATACTATAATATAGAAACTTATCAAAAATAAAATTACGTTCACCGTTATTTCGTAATCGAAATAATACTATATCAGAAAATGTCATGGCGATCGATTTGCATCACACTTAACAGTTTTCAAATATTTTGTGACTGAAAATAAATAGCAAATTAGTTTCGAACGCCTGGACACAACTTAAAAAACAGTATAAATAATATTAATATTACTTGGTGGCCTACATAATGTAATTACCAATAAAGTCAACTGAGATTATCCAACAATAAACCGCGTAACATTATTAATAATTGAATCCCTCCGATATTAGAATTACTGTCCGCAAGAAAGCCGCAGGGCGAGGCCGACACTGCACACAGAGTTATTTCACACATTCTACAGACATTGTCACGCCTGCCATCTTAGATTTCCTTTAAATTTACGATAACCAAAGGTATCCAGTAGGATTAGATTACCGTGCAGATGCAAACGCGAGAACGTTTCAAGTTTCTGCACGCACCGTGTACAGGTAAGACGAAATGCAAATACGAAAATATGATCATTTTAACATTAATATTGCAAAAGCATTATTATTACAGAATAATAATGCTTTTCTGAATGGCAAGCGTGAAGGCGAGTGCGCTACTGCTCTCCCCCAGGGATGGCAACATTTTTTTTCCTAATTAGAATAGGATTATCCCTTTCAACTATTAATTCATTTTTTTTTTCTTTTCCACTATATGTAGCACTCGCAAATAAAATCCGGTACATGGAAACACGAGACCATTTTATACAATAACTTACTTTCGGTTCTGGGCTTATAATAATGTCGGCATATCGCTTTATGGGTACAGCTATGGGTACGCACGCTACCCCGAAAGCCCGTATAATTTGGAACCGATAGTGATTTTTTGTTTTCGAAAAAGATAATTAAGAACAAGCGTAATTGTGCCAACGCTTCAAAAACAAATCCGCGTCATTGCTCCGCTCACATTGTTTCGCGATCTTGCTGATTGTATCTCAAATCGCAGCAGAAACTTTGTCACGAGTTATTTTGTTCAAGGATAAAATCTTCATTCATCAACTGATAATTTACGTATTTATAAGTGTCATAATAAAATAATCCCGCACAATTGTTAAAAAAAATAAAAAAAAAATAAAAAAAAAAAGGAACGGGGTTCTAGTCCCGATTATTTCGGATGTGCGGGACTCGACCGTATTTCCAAAAGCGTTGCCATCCCTCGTCTCGTGCCCGTGCCCCCCCTCCCCCCTCCCGCAGCAGGGCGGGAGCGCGCGGGCCTACCTGTTATGCAGCACGCGCAGCGACTTGTGCGACATGCAGTTGACGCTCCAGTCGGTGTTGCCGTGGTCGTTGCAGATGGTGATGGAGAAGCGGCCGTAGTTGGCTCGGATCAGGTGGATAAGCTCGCCCTCCTTGCACTCGATCTTGAGCGTCTTGCCCTCGCACGCGTACGCCGTGTCGTAGCGCGCTTGCTCTGCAACACACGACCACACATCCGTCAGCACACACACCAACACTGCATCTCGGAAACGGAATTCAAGACCAATAAGAAGATAATCTTATGCACTACTACCATCTTCTAACATATTTCATATCCATCTCAACCTCACATTGGTAACCGCATCTTAAATATAACAGAATTAACTCTGCTTGCACAAATGTTTTTTTAAGATTATTTATCTCATTTTATGTAAATGCTGACAGAGAAGGTGAGTAGGCGTCAACGGTAGTGTAGTGAAGGGAATACTAATTTGTTTTCAAAAAAGTGTGGCTTCCAATTTTACACAACGTCTGAAGGATACGTACATACTACAACGTTGGATGAAGAATGAGTTGCGTTTTTCAGTTAGGGAATATTTCAAACTGTATTTAAATAATAATAATTTGTACATATGTTAGGGACAAAAGTCTTCTGCGTATTCAGCACAAAAACAACACATGTTTACATTCGATACGATTCAAATCCAAGAGCGTTGACTAAGTGGTACAAATTCTGTCGCAGCAACCAACGCTTTCCAAATCTGAAACGGGTGTTTGGCTATGTTGCACAGAGGCAATAAACAGAAAACCAGAAAAAAATTCCAACCGAAATTAATGGACTGCAATTAAGCAACAATAAAAGTTCATAACCGGAAATAATTCTCGTTAATCCCCTTGCCAATCAATCCCGTTGCGAACAGCGGAGGTATCACGATTGCACCTCGCGGTCGCATTTTTTTTAAATGTGTGCGTGTGTGTGTGTGTGTGGGGGGGGGGGGGCTTCTGCCGGCTTCTCCAAAGAGGCCCCACTGCATCCCATACGGTTTTCCTCCTGATAACTAGGAAGAGCTCGCCCAGACATCAATGCTTCGAAGATCTCCCTTTCGCTTCCGCTTTTGAAGAAAATGAAAACGGGAAAAACAAAAGCTTCTTTTAAAGTTGTTCATTTGATGTTACTCTTCTATCGCAATGGTAAAACAGAAAGTAAACAAAACTTTTTCTTCTGAAATTAAATTGTATTGAACACTGATTTATTGAAACTATGTGCATGCCCTTTCAGAACATTGCCAACGATTGAAACCATCTCTTAAAAGTTTGTGGAAACAAAATTTTAAGCCGTTTTACTCCGCTCACTTAACAGTTTCGAAGATTTTGCCCTGTTCACCTGTGTTTGAGGTTTCCTCTTGTTGCGAGAACATCTATTTGTGTTACACGTCACACCCCCCCGTCCCAAGGGTCGGATCCAGCCGATCATTGTGGAGGGAGTCACCATAGATTTGTCGTCAAACAATAAACATATTTTATAATATTCTTTATTATTTTTGAAGTGTAAATATTCTATCTAATATTATTTTTTAAATAATTTCATAATTCTTACATAAATAAATATTTAAATCAATTATGCCAAATAAAAGAAAGTAATAAACAAAAACTAGGCATTGAGGGAGGGGGGAACCGTACACTGCTCCCTGGATCCGCCACTAACCGTACCCCATCCGAGAAGAATGTTACGGTTTTCTCTACTTACAAACTTCCTCTTCCTTGCTAATCATCTATGATACCCATACGTCTACAATAGACCACGAATGGTCTGATCGTTTATCTCCTTCGACAGATTTTCCACTAACGAACGTAACTCAGAAACACAAGGGTTCTCTCGCATCAATTACGTATATGATGAACCGTCTCATCCTCTGCACTTACCTCGTTTCCGAGGTAAATTCATTCCTAAACCTTCTCCTCTTATTTTTTGACAATATACTGCTCAGTGGAATACCTTTTATTGATTTCTTTCCCTATTTGTACGGAGGAATAGGCACTTAAACGCACAATATCACTTATTTCACACTGGTATTTATCTCTTTCAGCTTGCTAATTTCATTGCGTTTTTATTTATAATGGATAGAAGAGTCAACTTGAGGTCTCTTCTTTTCTGTTTGTAGTGACGTTTTTAAATACATATTGGTCGCGTTTGGAAAAACACTGCGGTTTGAAGAAGATGGGGTTGGGACTTAGCGGTAACACGACGTACCGGTATTTCATCTTAAAATTGACCCGAAATTTCGAATCGATTCACGTCTCGCAGTTTTTCCATTCTTGACAGTGCCTCTCCCTCGCAATCGTCGTGCCAGTACTACGGTTGGAGATTGGACGCTCCTCGCCTCAGCTCCACGGCGAACCAGCCTATTC